ACCAGTTACTAAGCTTCTCTGCATCTGTTTCCTCAGTTGTTTTGTTTTCTGAGGCAAGGATTAATGTAGTCCAGGCTAACTTTGAACATGTTATGTGGCTGAGGGTGATCTTGAATTCCTGATCCTCTTGCCCCCAAGTGCTGAGATTATAGCCTGAACCACCTCGCCCCTCCAGCAGTTCCCTTACCTTTGAGACTGAGATAATGTATCTTGTAAAAGTGAGTTTTATTGGCCAGATGTAATTGTCATCTTGGAGGCCTACTGCTGAATAGCTCACCGTTTCTAGCTCTTTCTGAACTGGCTGGCTGGTTCAACTCAGCTGTTCTGGCTCAAACTCCTCTCCAAGCTGACTGACTCGATCTGGCTTCTCTCGGCTTCTCACTGAATTGCTTGGCCTCACACTAACTCTAGCAATCTGTTTTAATCTTCTGGCTCCTTCTGTCTTCACCTGTTTGTTTAGCTTGTTCTCTCTCCAATCTGTCTCTGCACAACTGTTTCAGTAAAGACTGCCTTTGAACTCCACGTACTGAGCTGCCACTAGTGAGCTGTACTGCCTCAACTGATTCTCTCTTCCCGAGCTCCTCTTAAATAGCTTCTTGTGAGAGTTGGGTGTAGCCTATCTCTGACTCATTCTGTCAAACCTTTCTCTGATTCTTCACTTTGTCTGTCCCTCAATTAGATGTAATTGTTTGGGAGTAAAGGTGTATAATAAAGGATTCCAGCCAGAGGGATTAAAGGTGTTCACTAAGGGTGTGTCTACATTCCAGCCAGGTCACACAGATTTAGGTCTTGGTGCTGGATTAAAATTCCTCTACAGTATCTACCTGATAGGGTGGTACTGAAGATCAAATGAGGTGGTCTATAGAAAATACTCAGTAAAGGTTAGTGGTTGCAGCTGTTCTTAACTACTTGGTCTCTGGCAGTTTACTCAGCCTTCAGTGGTACCTAGTTCTAATCATCTCTCCCTCTGTCACACACACACACACACACACACACACACACACACACACACCATACTGCCCCACCGTGTAGCTGGGATGACGGGCATACACCATTACATTTAGCTCTGACTAAGTTGTACAGCCAGTGGGCTATGGTGTATAGCAGAATCTTCCAGAAACTTGGTTTGCAGAAAGCACTGACATAAGTTACAACATTGAAGTGTTAGAAAGAACAACATGGACTTTGTGGCTTCTAAAATCTTCCATTTCTGTTTGTAGATTAGTGTATGGAACTTTAGAAGGCATTTTCCCACTGTCCATTTGGAATACAATAAGACAAATTAATACAAATCAAAATAATATGGTAACAGCATCACATAATTTGTGTATACTGATGTAGTAACAGATTTAATTTAGTGCAGCTTTGGAGAAGTCTTTTGTATTCCAGTTGCTTTCCGGGGCGAGGCTGGCCAAGCTCAGCCTTGAGCGTCTTGCAGCCAGAGTCTCTTTTCACGGCTGCTGACTGGCTGAGCAAATGCCTCTTCCTCAGGTCACCTTCAATTTCTGTTTTGGAAAAAGAAGAATGTATATAGTCTAAGTAATTGTTGAGAAATAACACAAGCAATAAAGAGTGCTAAGCTTTGGAAAGCTGGGAGCGACCCAGTGTGCTTTGTCTCCAGCCTTCCTGTGCACACCCTTTGGAAGTTTTACACTTGTACGTGGGGATAGGAAGACCAAGTTGTTGCTGCTGAGTTTGGCGGCGGTGAGTCCTAAGGCCTTGTCAGGAGCCGTCTCATCAAGGCCTGTTATCCTAGGCAGACAGTGAGCAGGATGTGACCAGTGGCCGGGAAAGGCTCCAGAGGTTGAACTGTGACAGGAAGGGAGGAGGGCATATGTCCCTCAAAAATGGGGCTCAGGACGCTTTGTTGTTCATTTTGATGCTTTTAAAATAGATTAAGAGTTGAGTGACAGGAAAAAAAATGAGTGGGAAGCCTGGTGTGGCCACGCACACTGATAGTCCCAGAATGTAGAGGACAGGGGAGGGGGATTGTGAGTTAGTGTGGGCTAACAGTGAGACCGGCCTCAAACAAAAAAAAAGGACAGAAAAATGAAAAAGCAACTCGTAGGCAGTACAGAGGGAAAGCTGATGAGATAGTACAGCGGCTGTTAGTGAGGAACAAGATATTCAAAGAGGTACACAGAAGATGGAAAAGTATCCATGGGCTGCGGTGGTGCGCGTTTTTGATTCCGCACTAGGGAGGCCGGGGCGGG